CTTGCCCACGTCTGCAGGAAGGCCGTGCCTTATATCTCGCCGCTTCTCCCAGCAGGCCTTGCTCCAAGTCTGCACATCACCTGATTCCTAGGAACTACAAGTCCCAGGATGCCTTACTCTGGGCAGAGCCTATTGCAAGGGGCCAGCACATGGCTACGGACACTGAGGGTGCGTTGGGATCCCCGCTAGCATCTCCCAGGCTAGAGTGCAGAGGCCAGCCTGTAACCGAGCCGGCTGTGTGTTTTCAGTCCCCTCACTGGAGCGGGGAGCCCAGCCAGCCCTGGAGGAAGGGGAGCAGGAGACTCACTGGGTCCTGGTGCACAGGAGGAGGCTGTGCCCTGCAGCCAGCCTCCTGGGCACCCCTCTCCAGTGCCGCACGGACTGGGCAGCCACGAACTGCAGGGACACTGTGGCAGAGGGAGCTTCGCAGCCGGAGTCCTAGGCCTGCTGGGTTCCCACTCTCCTCGGAGTAGCAGGGCTCTCCCCACGGGCATCACAAGGAGCCAGTGGGGGTTGGGCGAGAGAAACCAGCGTTTGGATTCCTCCCAGCCAGCGCCCGTCTCACCCCGGCCTTTGGGGAGCCTCGGAGCCACTCCAGTACCCCCATGTGCCCTCCCTGGGAGGGGCTTCCAGAGCACTACGCCCACCCCCGAGCCCCCACCTTGCCAGCGAAGTGCTGGATGATGAAAGCCTCCGTGGACATCTTGGGCTTCTGGAAGTGGGGGCTGTGGTGAAGGTGCTGGTCATAGAGCTTCTGTGCCCAGCTCCGGTCACTGCCCTTGGGCATCTGGGTGGGGAGGAGGAGTCAGACAGCTGGAGGCCCGGAGGAAGGGACTCGCACCGGTGCCCCCCCCAGCAGCTGGGAGCACCAGGAGTCTCCGGGCTGAGACAGGCCTGAGAGCATCCCCCGCTCACCTTGCACTCCTCATTCAGCAGGTCCAGGATACCCAGCTTGGCCTCGATGAGGTCGATACAGGGCTGGTTGTCGGAGAAGTCGATGAAGGCCCAGGGGATCCCCTCCCGCACGTACTCCTCCTGCTCCAGCTTAAAGACATGCTGCAGGGGCGGGGGTGGGAATGGGAGCAGGGCTCTGCCCTCCCCCA